AAAATATCATATATATTTTCTACAAAATCAATGATTGATATCTGGAATTCTAATTTTTATTGCTTTAATTAACTAAAAAGAAAAAAAAGATATTTTTAATTAAAAATTTGTTTAGCTTGTATAATTGATAACATTTACTTTTTGTACTAAACTTGATTAAAAAAACTGAATTAATATATTTAGCACATGGGGTGTGGGTGTGGTTGAAGAGTACACCCACACCCGGAATATTATTTTATAAAATATTCTTACAAAGAGTTTAAAGTAAAAAGAGAACAGGATACTTTTGTACTTTAAAGTACGCTGAAGTACATCAAAGTACGGTAAAGTATTTTACAGTACGTGAAATATGAAGTGTCTTGTTTTCCCATTGATTTAAAGTCGTTTTGATGTTATTTTATTTATAGAAAATAATTTGCTTGATTATAAATAATGAAATGAGAAAAATTTTATTGTCTCATATATCAAGTGAAAATAAAGTCTAAGAAAATATCAAATTTGTATCTAATTTTATTGTGTATTTGATTATGACGATCTTAATTTTAATAAATTAGTATTTTATATTTAAACATTGTAAAATCAATAGAAATACATAAAAGGAATTATATAATTGATAATGTATGATGAATGAATGATGATCTAGACTGATAGTTCAGTCTGTTCTTTTACTGATGAATTGCTTAGTCTTTTTCAAGTCTTGAATTATTTCAGTTTCATATTCATCAGTTCGAGCATATGATGGATTTGTGAAAGGGCAAAAACTATAAATTACATTTTTTCAACATGACCACAAAATCGATTAATGTGATTCATTAAGAAACAAAAATTGCACTGTCAGCTATCACGTACACTATAATGAAGTTAAAAAAAAATAAACTTTTTAAAACATCGAGCCGATCATGGTCGTTAAATGTGCACTTAGTAGCTTGAACAACAAAGCTATGTGCCAGTATATTGGTCGAAATAATAAAACAATATTGCAAGAAATTCATGTAAAATTAGTGAAAACATGTCAGATACCAATGTATATATCCCTATAGTAATTCGTTGAACAGCCAATTCGTCTGGTATAAATTCGATAAAAAATCTAGATTGTGATTAAACGATCTGTTGAAAAAAATAAAAAAGCGAACATCGATGATTGAGAAACATTCTTCAACGAAGAAACTAAGAAACGAAAAAACCGGCTTGAATGTTTCTCATCAATTTTTTAAACTTTATAAAAGAAAGATGTTTGACCAGAATTTCTAATAACGGTGAACGAACCAAAGTTTGAAATAGGATTTCTTGAAATAATCTTCATGAGTCCTAAAATGGTGTATTATTTTCTTTTAAAGATCAAAATGAAAGAGAGTTGGTGTGGGTGATCGTCACTTCATCCACACTCGCACCCTCACATACCCAATTCATTTCGAAATAAGTTAAAGCTACAAAAAAAAAGAATGACTGAATATCAAATGCACCGAATCGAATCCGAGTATAAGATAATTAGATCTATTTAGATCCAAGTATGAACAGTTATATTTGTACAAGATTCAACAGTAAAAATTAATAAATAATAAATATGTAAATAATACTCACGAAATTACGGATAACAAAGAACATCGTAAAAAAAGGAATGCATATGAGCCATTGTTTTTTCGTCTGAAATTAAAATAAAAAGATTTAGAAGTGCACTTTTGGTAATCGTACTGGTATCCATTTCAAAAAAGAAGTGCCATGGGTGTTTTTTAAATAATTTTTAGTAGAAACAAGATAGATAGCTGCGGTTTTCACCAATTATGCAAAGAGACGATTCAGATGTAGAAATACGTGCTAACATTTCGTTCACCAACACTGTAGATTAATTCTTGCTGAACATTTTGAAAATGATATAATGTACTAATTTTGCATTCGACCTTGATTATTAATATAATTGGTAGATACGAAACATTTTGCTATTTCGATCTATACAAGGTTGATATTGCCAGCTTGTTCCACTCAAAAGTTCTAAGGTTTTTATATTTGTCACATGTAGACTTAGTATATTACATGGCAACAAACTGTAAAACTTTGGAAATACTAAAATAATGGCCTCAGATCATTTTGAATCCAAAAACAAATATTGCTATTCGGCTCAGCATAGTGAATTATTCCTGCTGAAATGCTTTTTTAGGTGATTCCAAGTCTGTTGACTGGAATTAGGAGTCTCAAGAAAACTCTTATAACTCGTGAACTGAACAACCTAGTAATGCCAGTCTTGGGTAGATCAAAGGAGCAGAATTTTTCCTATCTAATAGCCATATTAAAAATCAAGGTCGACTGAAAAATTGACGCAGAATATCGTTTTCAAAATGTCCTCCTGAACTTAATCTGATTAGTGCAGTGTTGATCAATCAAATTTTAACAGGTGTTTTTGCGCCTCGGTCTTCTCTTTGCAATAGGACAATCCCAGCACTCTATCTTGTTTCTATCAAAAGTTATTCAAAAAAATACCCACGGTTCTTCTTTTTCTTGAAATGGATATTACCTATTTCAGGTCATTGAATCTAGTAAATAAAGTTCATAGTCTGAAACAACTTATGTTTTTCTATTTGGATGATCTTGGATAAAAATTAAATTTAAACTTATACAAAAATTTCAATATTCCGTAGAACAAAATTAAATTCTTATATGTATTCGAAACCAAAAATAGTATCTGCAGGAAAAAATAGTTCATCTTCAAATTATTTTTGATGTGAAATTATTGAGAATAAAAATGAATTACTGAAGTTATAGTCTCTATTCTATAAGTGATCTTTCTTGTCTAAAGAATTATTTCACATTCTGATCCAAGTTGATCATGTTATGATTTTAACGTAGAATATAAAGTATCTAAAAACAAAATATTCAAAAAAAAGAACTTCTTTTTGATGAGAGTTATCATTGAAACTCAATATTTATGACAAAACTAAACTGTATACTAGAGAATATTGTAAATAACATGTTTTTAAAGAAAAAAATGCTTCAAATGCAAATAATAGTCAAAGATGAGGCACAGATTGCAATTTTGTTCCTATCTGTATTATTCTCTATATACAAATATGAAAATCCTATCATTCTTTGAGTCCGAAAAAAAGCACCGAAAATATCACAATAAATAAAGGATTTTAAATGATTGAAGAAAAATAGTGAACGATGAACAATGGTTACTTGCATCTTCGTATATTCAGTGTGATTGTGGCTGTTGATTTACTAACACTGAAGTTGGTACACTTTGTGTATTAATTTCATTTGTTGAAGATGTCATCATAATCGATCAGATTAAATAAGACATTTACTAAGAAAATAGAAAGATATAAAGTATGACATATTATTATTCGTTTTAGAAAATGTAAGTACAAATGATAAATTATCATTGATATTGAATCTATATTGCTTTCAAGATTAACAATATAGAGATCAATTGACTGATGGAAAACCGTGATTTCAGAAATATATGTTTTTTCTGCACATGCTAGCATCATTGTGACGAAATGTAAATCTGTATTTAGGTAAGCTTATCTATATATGTATGATGTATAAAAGACGATTACGAACAAATCTAAACGATATAGACCGATATACTTTCAGAATAAATTGATACCGTAGCTCATTAAATATGTATTAACATTCTGAAATGCAAAAAAGCTATTAGCACAATCTATGTGAAAATAAAGTACGTAAGACGAAATGGTTACTGCCACTAATAGAAACTCATGTTTAACAAATCGACTTAAATCAATATCCTATGTACTCGATACTCTTGTCGATTTATTAGCCAAAATAAAGTCAATATTTCCCTAGATCTGCTTAGTTTTCTTGTCAACTCGTAGGTTTCTCTTTTAGTATTATATCAAAATATACAATAAATTCCACTTTTGAGACTGTCTGTCACAGTCTGTAACGGGAACGGGTCCACATTTTCACCCATACATTTCAACGCGGGTGTGAGTGTGGTGTGTGTATGGGTGTTGATCAGCGTCTTAATTCGAGATCCATACCCACACTCACATCCTGATACTCAATGAGGTTTTTTAACTTGCATCTGACAGTCGCCCTAAAACACACCGTCAACATTTCTCAATCACTCTTGATGATGATCTTATAAGAGCAAGTTATGATTGACTTCCTTCAGGGTAGCATCCGTTGGGTTGGATCCGATCCCAGTTAATAAAAAATGTTCAGATCCAAGTCTGCTCATGTCAGGATCTGGAATTAAACTAACCGTGTCTAGCGCTCAAGTACGGATGAAGTACGGAATTTTCGCTATTTTCCTCTTGAGCACATTTTATAGCGTTCCTGCTAGGTAGCTAAGAAAATGATAAATATGAATTGGAAATTAGAAATCATGTCAATATAACTATCAAGTAATAACGATACGAACACAACATATATGATAGCATCACAAAATATTGAAAACATATAAAAGTGTGTGGGGTTTTAGATAAGTTGATGAGAAAAAAAAACATTCAAATGAATACATATATAATCATATAGTTTGAAAAAAGGAAAAAACAGAAGACGAGCTCGAGTTATGTTGCCCTTCTGATTCACCCCCAAGCACTTTTTCATTTTTAAATTCATAAATTTTCATTTCTCTCTAGATTCTACTCTCCTATTTTTTTTTTGATCGTTCTTGATATTAAGACAGGAAAGTGAAACATCCCAAGTTCACTTCAACGACAGTAATGCACATGTGAAAAAACGTAGAAGCGTCACAGATGCTAACATGCTTGTCAGTATCTTGGTATTTCAATGTCATAAAAGACTGTTGAAGACATCTAAACGAAAAACAAAAATAATGGTTAAAAACCATTTTGCAAGGAATGTAATTAGAAATCGATTGAATGCATTATCTACGGATATATTCTTGAAGTCACAAAAAAAAATTTCGAAGTTTTAAATGTTTTAGTTAAATACAGTTTCTGTCGAAAAAAAGAAAATGAAATCTCAATTCAAATAAATATAGCGTTAGAAAAAAGCAATCCTCGTCCTTTCGTTTATATGCAACCGCACTTTGTATCTTCAAATTCCGTATCTAATCCATATTCTTCGACTTTTGTATCAAAATTTTTATCCACCACAATGACCCATCGTAATATTTGTGCTGGATCTTTAATACAAAATTCATCTCTGTCGTCATTCTGATGATTAAAATAAACTGTATCATAGTCTTTCCACCATGTGTTTGAATTTTGAACTGTATGGATTTCATTACGTGTTACTTCTTTGACACGACTCATTCTAATTTCGGCACATATCAAAGCTCCAGCATGTCTAGCCTTGTTTTCTGTGTGTGCAATCGAACGTGCAAAATAAACGCCAAATCCAAGCATTTGTGGTGGTGTCATTGAGGGATGAAAATCACTATGTGCGATAGAAATAGCAAATTACGATTTTGTACGATGAAAGCCAACGTAAGTTGCCGCTTCATTCGGTGGCAATAATCCCCAACGTTCTTGCGGCTTATAATCATCTAAATGGAATATAATCAAATGTTCTAAATTTCGGTTTAAACATTTAACATTTGGACTCATAGAATCGCATGGTTTATTTCCCATATGCATATCATTCCGATAATTACCAATAAGATGATAAGGTATATAGCGAATGTGTTTGCGGGATAGAGTGCGTCGAGGTAACGTGTCGCATGATGGTCGATAATGCCACCAAATACGATATTGATAGAAATCAAGCAATAGTGATGAAATTGGAAAAAACAATGACATTGCACAAAGAAGTGGTAATGTTTGTCTACCTGTTGAATTACTTTTCGATGTTGCATACAAAATAATGGCAAGTATTCTCAGAAGAATACTGAATAATAAGAAAACTAGCCGAACAATAAAACGTAAACGTGGTCTAGGAATATAACATGGACAGTTACAATTGAGTGCAACAAAGCGATTCATAGGTCGACTGCATAGCAAAAAACGAGCACAATCTACAGTAACACTATGATCATTCATGGGTCGAACTTTATTTTTATCATTGCAGCAGATATGAATCAAAGTTCTCAATGCAAATATTAAGAGAAGAAATGCTATTATTAGACCCATCAACGTTGGTGCTAATGAACCAACCCAATCGAGTATGAAGCCAGCAGTCATTATTGCATCAGGTTTTTCAGTTCCGGTGGGTGAGGATAGCAAAGAAAAATATATTGACAAGCGAATTATACCAACGAAAAGTTCACCAATAGCTAGTAAAATATACCATGTTGGTAGCCGTCTGTAACAACAGGAAAAGCAGCACATTTTCGAATTCCACCAGTGAATAGGAATGAATAAAATGAATATATCAAAAAGCAATAACAATAAAATTTCGCATCAAGAACTTCTAGTTGTATATCGCAATAAACAGCTCTTACAAAAGGATTCTCTATTCCTCATGGACACGATTCCAAACCACATTAACTAAACACACTCAAAAGTGTCTATCGCCATTCGTCGAGAAACAGAAAAAAATATAATTCATTCAAATTTCGATTAGTGAAAGTTCAGCATAGACTGTGCTTAGCTCTTTGTTGAGTTATGATAGTCCAACATAAGCATCCACTATGAAAAATCTTAAAATGATATGTGACTATATTTATCGAGTTAGAAAAGGCAAATTTTTCACTGACGAAAAACTCTCAGTTGATGATGTAAGATGCATATATTGATCTTACTAATTTATATCAGTAATACTGTGAAGACAATAAGAATTAATGTCTAGGACGAATGTACAATACCAATCCAATCTGCCTTCACTTTAAAGCAAGAACGACAAAGATTCTTTCCTCTCGGTACAGTCATTAACTTCCAAGTTGAAACTAATGACTGTACACGATTATTGTATGATGTGAATGTCAATCGCATATGTTCTGATACATTTTTTCGTCTGTTCGGTTTTCTCATTATATATTAACAGTTAGATCTCATATTTCTAGCATATAAACTAGATAGTAATACTGAAGTAAGTAGTATATTACCAGTCTTGAGTTACATCGTTTGTTGAAAATACATACGCATGCATCTCTCGTATTCTTGGATTCGAGTGGTAGCCTTTTTTGTGTCTGAATCAAAATTTAAAAGCTCAATGCAACAAATTTTCCATTGCTTTTCTCATGTAAACGGCTTTAACATCCCAATAAAGTCAGTTAATCGAATATTGCACAGTTTGATCGAGACACAAAAGGTAAAGTCTAAATGTGATAAGAAAAACTACAATTTTTTTTATTAACTCACAAGAATATGAGAGATGCATTTAAATGTTTTTCAACAAACTGCTTACTAGAGTGCTATTGTCAGGTAAATGTGCTCGAAATATGAGACCTAACTATGAATTTATAAAGAAAAAATCGAAGAAATCGAAAAGTGCACATATTTCCTGAGACTCCTTGATAGATATATGCGCGCTTGGGATAGAAAAGATCGAACCTAACTAGAATTAGATGTTTTAACAAACGGTACGATCTCGTAATGTTGTAAACTATGCTTCGATCTAAATTCGTCTCTCAGCCATCTTCAACTTCACTAACACGCTTCTAATAATCATTTGAAGCTTGGAGTAGCTTTGTGTTTTAAATGGCAGATCAAGACATTAAGAGAATATTTCTTTCCAACGTTGAAGAATCAATAGCAAGCTTTAAAAAAATACTCACTAGAATCACTTTATGATGCTGTCAATAAAGTCTTTTTCATGAGCTTCGAAGAACGAAACCAAAATATTTTTTTTTCTTTGTTCTTCTTATCTTGCAGTCTGCCATTACGCAAAGGGAGCACAAGACTTTATAAGGTCAAAAACAAAGTATATGCTTTGGGATGATTTGATATATCTGTTTGTTTGTGACAACCGAAGAAAATGATTACGAAAATCGAAACAGTCGAACCTGATGTTAAGAACGGTCGAATAAGTTCTTCAATATTTTAATCGAGAAAGTTAATAGATATAAAAGCTTACTGATGACAATTCTTTGATCATGAGTCTCTCTTGGGGATTTTTTTCGAAAATCAATATTTATGATCGCAAAGAAAGCATTAAAAATCATTCCTTTGAGAAAATATTCAAATGAAATCTGAGGTACCACTCCTTATATATTGGGAAATCGACTTTCAAAAAAAACCTTCTTCGTAATTCAAGTAATATCGACGATTTTCATTACTAGAAGAACACAAGAACGGGCTTAGCCACCTCAGAAAAGCACTATTTGAGGTTGAATGTAGATGGATGAAAATGGGCATCTTCTCTTGATTCACACACTCATCCACTCCCTAATGGCAAAGCTAAGTTAGACTTAAGTCAGTATTTATAGAAAAAAACCGTTATTTCAACATGCTTCCTACGTTCTATACGATTTCAGGGTGAGTTCTGTGTTGGTGACATGAAATCTTCAATGAACTAATTTACATGGATCCGATCTATGATACGCATTAGTATCTAGACGATTTACGATGAACTTTTAGTCAGTACGCGTGGAAACGGCTCGAACATAGACGTAATATTGCTTTAAATTAGACATAATATCGCGATCAACAATTCGGGTGTTCTAGATAATAACTTTTACAAAATAACTCTCAATATTCCTGTATCTTAGATATGATTTGTCATCGTATTTCATACTCATTCATAAGTCAATCATTGATTCTTAAATATACATCGATTGATCTACCATTAGAATTGCTTCACAAGTATCATGTCATTGCATTACAATCTTTAGAAAACACTGTTACATACGCATGAACTCGTTGTCTTTTTTCCTTTAAGAAAGCAAAGCGCTCCATGCGCTGCTAGAGTCATAAATGTGACTTGCTACTCACAATTTACTTGCTATCAATTCTTCCTCTGTTCTGAAATGAATTCTCTATGGCATTAAAATCCATATCCCAAAAAATGCATAGGAAACAGAAGATACAACTCTTCCTTTGATAAATTTAGCTAGTTCAACACCTCATAATCCACAATCAATGTGTGCCTTGTTCAAGATCAATAGATAGCTTTGTCGGTTATATATCGTCTTTCTCTTTCCATTTGAGATATCTTCTCTATACTTTGTGTCTAAAATGTTGAATGATGGCTTATTTCGTCAGAGTTTTTTTCTTTTGTCATTCGCGATCGATTGCTTTGTGTCCAATGCTATATCAGAAAGTCTTTGTGGCGAATTTGACACATTGATAGATAGCGAAAAGCTAAATGAACATCTTACTCTATGGCAGAAGCATTTGTATTAATCCTTTTATCTTTACGATAACCTATTAGAAATCGATGCTTCACTGAAACATCATATTGATAAGATGTAGCATGCATCATATGTCAACACCTTTCGAACAGATCGATACTTCTATTAATGTTTTATGTGTAATTTCGAAGTTGCACTAATGAATCGAACATGGGTCTATTCATGCCAGCCTAGTTAGAGTTCTCCATGATCGACATAAGAGAGCTGATCCAGTCTGAGAGTGTCACTGTAGCTATGAATCTTCTCTTTATCTACATCCGCACGGCTTGAAGTAAGAGAGAACAGAACTGATTAAAACAGGATATAGATGGTTAATTTGAAATCTGAAGCAAATCTTGAAGTTCTACATAAATTTCCAACACCACACCCATGTCTATATTGACATTAGCAGAATCGAATCGCATCAAATAAAGATGCTGATATTTGCTTCATTCTCTGAAGCATATAAATCAATAAGAAAACAAACAAATGATATGCTAAAAAATGAAAGAACTTGACAGATACTCAATTACAATTTGATGAATGGTAGCAATATATCGATCATCTGTCATTTGGTAAAAAGACAGCATAAGAATGAAATTCTTTAAATCTTTTCTGTTAACAATAATATCTGATTTCCTGTGCTTTAGGAATGCTTCAGCAATAGTTGAGCATGGAAAAGCGAGAAAAATAGTCACCATCAAAACCATCAGAAAAATTTTATAATACAAGAGCAAAAACTATTTGTTTTTCGAATAAACTGGAACATTCACAAGTAAAGGTAAATCCAGACTCGTTGTACTAACACAATAATGTTTCGCGCAATCGGTGTTGGAAGAATTAAGTTATACATATTCAGAAGAAAAAAAACTAGCAGCTTATAGACGTTAGACAATTTCTTCTGATTTTTCTCGACAATAATATTATAGATACGGATGCGTAATCAAATAGCATGGACGTGCAATACAGTTTAAACAAATTTTATGTGGTGGAACTTCTTGATGAGTGTGAAGTTTATATACATGTTCTTAACATTTTATTGGTGAAATAATTCTAACAGCAAGCAGAAATTCAAGCATATGTTAAGATATATCCGTCAGAGACATATGCGCCTTTTTTTAATAAAATACTAAATTGTCAAGTGTTTTCTGTCTATTCTTTGTTATGTATCTGTTTAAATTATTTGCTTAACAGAAAGTCTTCCATTAAAAAAACTTTTATTTATATATTTTAATTTTTCGACTACTTTGAGTTCAACCAGTTAGTGTAGATCTACTTAGTGCAGATCAGATATCGATCAAAAAGTATAAAGTATACTGAATTGGAGCGTGGATGTCTATCTTTTCTTCATTCCCACTTACATCTACACAATCACCCTCATCGCCGCACTCTTTCATGTTGTAATGTAAGAAGAACTTAGGCGAAGAATTGGAACTTTTGAATTGTCTTTATCAGTCAAAATACTCCCCATTAAAAATACAATTTCATCACTTGTAATTGTTTAAAAAATGTTGTTCATATTGACTGGTATATTTTATAGGCAAAAATTCTTTTGCATTAATGTTGGATTATTCAAATAAGCAATTCATATATTCGGCATTAATAGTATTGAGACTATTAGCGATTAGAATTTTGTTTTATTACAAGTCATTAAAATGAGATATTCATCTGTAAATAGAACACCTAGCTCAATGCTTTGAAATACAAGTTTATCAATTCGATCGAATTTCTAAATATTGGTTCTAAATTTGAAATGAATTTCTATTCGTCACCTCGTGTGCAGCATAAATCGTCAGATGACTATTGGCTTGATCTCCTTTTTGTTTTCTGCATAATCAACTATCTGATCTCAGAGCAAAGCCATGGTGAGATCAAGACGAAATTTGTCTGTAAACCATTATATTATAAGGT